AAGAAGACAAACACCGAGGTCTTGTCGCCTCCTTGATAGCACGACCACCTGAGCTAAGTGCTACAGACTGAATGTTTGTGTCCCTCAAAATTCATATGTGGAGCCCTAACCCCCCATGTGATGGTATCTGGGAGTGGAACTTGTGGGAGATTATTAGGTCATGAGGGTGAAGTCCTAGTGATGGGATTAGTGCCCTTAGAAGATGACAGGCGAGAGAGATTCTCGCTCCCATGTGAACACACAGTGAGCAGGTGGTCATCTGCAAGCCAGGAAGAGAGCTCTCTCCAGAACCCCACCAAGCTGGCACCCTCATCTTGGCTTCCAGCTCCCAGACTGTGCGAGATAAAGGTCTGTGGTTTAAACCACACAGTCTAGGGCAGTGGTCGGCAAATGCATTAGTCAACAGAGCCAAATATCAACAATACAATGACTGAAATTTCTTTCGAGAGCCAAATTTTTTAAACTTAAACTATATAGGTAGGTCCATTGTTATTAACTTAATTAGGGTACTCCTAAGCTGGCCTTTGCTAAAAATGTCCTCAATCTGAGGGGTCGACTTCAGCGAACATACATCCACTTCTTCTAACGCCACTTCTACAAAATAGACTCGCCCAGGCCAAAAACCGACTTCTGCGCATGGGTCTCGAAGTTTCAATTGCACTGTATGTGAGCGCCCACATGTGGTATTTTGTGGAAGAGCCACACTCAAGGGGCCAAAGAGCCACATGTGGCTCGCGAGCCGCGGTTTGCCAACCACTGGTCTAAGGCATGTTGTTCTAGTAGCCCGAATGGACTGACACATTAAGGCATCCATCATTTCTTGGGTGGATGGTTGCAGTGGCTTTCCAGCTGCATGTCCTGCTTTACCTCTTGTCACCTTACAATTCATTCTCTATCCTCTAGTTAGTGTGACCTTCCTTAGTTATTTATATTTTCTTTTATTGAGGTGAAGTTCATATATCCTAAAACTAACCATTTCAAAGCAAGTTGCTCAGTGGAATTTAATACATTGACAATGTTGTGCAACTGTATCTAGTTCCAAGACATTTTCAATGCCCCCAAAGGAAACCCCATAGCTATTAAGGAGTTACTTCCCATTTCCCAATCCTCCCAGCCCCAGTCAACCACTAGTTTTCATTCTTGCTCTATAAAATTACCTGTTCTGAATATTTCATAAATTGGAAATATGCAATGTGTGGTCTTTGTTCACTGAGTATAATGTTTTCAAGGCTCATCCACATCATAGTGAGTGTCAGTGCTTTGATCCTCTGTTATGGCTGAATAGTATTCCATTATGTGGAAGAACCACATTAGTGTATCCTTTCATCTGTTGATGTGCATTAAGTTGCTTCCAACTCTTGGCTACTGTGCATCATGCTGCTGTGAGCCTGCATGCATGTATATTTGTCACAGTACCAGGGTTAAATTCTTTGGGGTACATAACTAGAATTGAAATGGCCTGCATTAGATTTTTTAACATTTAAGGTAGCTCTCTTCTCCCCTCTGTTTAAATCTTCCAGTGGCCCTTCCGGCATGGTTCAGTGGCTGAGTGTCGACCTATGAACCAGGTCATGGTTTGATTCTTGGTCAAGGTCACATGCCCGGTTGCAGGCTTGATCCCCAGTGGGGGCGTGCTGGTGGCAGCCAGTCAATGATTCTCTCTCATCATTGATAAATCTATCTCTCTGTCAGCCTCTCTGAAATCAATAAAAATACATTTACAAAGTTAAAAAATATATAAAATCTTTCAATGGCCTCCTATGTAGCTTATTAGCAAAATTAAGCAGGTCAAATCCAGTGGACCTCCTGCTTCTGTACAGCTACAGGAGCAGTTCTCAGGAATGGGACTTCAGTGAGCTGTAGAGACACAGCTGGGGGTTCTCCTCTGCCCCTAAACCCCACTCTGCCTCCTTGACCAGCAGCCCAAACCTGACCACAGCCCACGCTCTGTGATGGGCACACTGACCACCCCAACATGGAATGTCCTCTGTTGGTGACTGGAAGGTGGATGAATCTCATTCTGCTGGGGGTGGGTCACTCAACATGTCGCCGTGCCTCTGGCCAGCTATCCAGATGAGAGAGCTGGGCCTGGAAGGGACAGGCTGGCTGAGAACTGGAGCAGAGACAGAAACTGGCCTTGGGGATCACCCCCACAACTGCCCCTGCTTAGATTGCCAAGCCTCAGATTGATCACTCTTCATCCAGAGAATGTCTCCAGCAGTGGGCCGCAAGTCACGCCCATCACTCCAGTGGCCCATCCTAAGCAAATGGCGTGGCAGGGTGGAAGTGCCTTAATAATAGCTTCCATTTTATCTCTCACCCCTCAAACCCCGATATAATTACTATCTCGCCCTTTAGAGAAAAAGCTTGCCATCCCCTGAGCTTAGACACTAAGTGGGTGTCACTATCTTGAAGCCCTTGTACCCTCGCTCACCCTGCAACAGGTATCTCAGGGCCTTTGCATGTACTGTTCCCTCTGCCTGAAACAGTCTTTTCCACGTCCTCCTTGTCATCTATGCCTTGACTCAAGAACCGCCCCTTCACAGGAGACATCCATGACCATCTGCAATAGGCATGGGTTTCTGTATCTAATTTATATCTATATTTAATTTGTATCATCTGTCTATTTGTATATGGGAAGACAGAGAAACAGAGGTTTATTTTAAGGAGTTGGCTCATGCAATTGTGTGGCTCAGCAAGTTTGAAATCTCCAGTGGGCTAGAGATTCAGTTGAGTTGATGCAGCTTTTAGTCTGAAGGCTAGAATTTCTACACTGCTGTCTTGAATCACTTTTTCTTCAGGAAACCCAATTTATTTGTTTCCTCTTCATCCCTTCAGTAAATTGGATGAGACCCGCCCACATTATCAAACATAAACTGCTTTTTCAACTATATATATATTAGGAGACCAGAGCACGATTTGAAATCACGAGGCTCCACCCACCCTCATGGAGGCCCCTGTCACCCCTCCCCCAATGCTGCATGTGCAATATCCTGTCCAGTCGATCTGTTACAGCATCCCGGTTCATTAGTATATTTACCTATTATATATATATACTAGAAGCCCATTGCAGGATTCCTGTCAGAATAGGCTTCCTCAGGTTGATCGCACCGCCAAGCCCCGCTGCCCAGGACTGCAGACAGGGGTACCCGCTGGGGGCGGGGCTTAGGCAGCACATGGGGGCTGAATGGCAGCTCTCACTGGCCCATCCTGCCTGCAGTATGCAAATTAGCCGGCAGTTAATTTGCATATCATGCTGATTAGCCGATGGGAGGCATAGCAAAGGTACGGTCAATTACCATGTTTGTCTATTATTAGATAGGATATATATTGCAGAGAGGAAGGAAGAGGGAAAAATCTAAACTTCAGTGATGAGAGAGAATCATTGATCAGCTGCCTCCCGCATGCCCCCTACTGGGAATTGAGCTGCATGTGCCCTGACTAGAATCAAGCTGTGACTTCCTGGTTTGAAGGTCAATGCCCAAGCACTGAGCCACACTGGCTGGGCTAAGGTAAACTGCTTTTAAAGTCAACTGACAAGAGATGTGAATCCCGTTTTTAAAATACCTTCCTACTTACATTTAGCTGGTGTTTCACCAAACGGCTGGTCTCCGTGGCCTGGCTAAGTTCACACAGGACATGAACCACCCTCATGTAAAGGACCTTTACTGGTGGCCCCATCACAGTCAGGCCTTCTCACGTTGCCCTGCTCTCCTTTCCTCGCCGTCTGAAATCAACTCTCTGCTGTCTTCAGAATGTTCACAGCCTAGAACCGTAGGTGCTCAAGCAACACCAAACCCCAGGTGTTAAAGAAATGAGGACAATGGACCCAGGGCAGGAGAAAGGGGAAACAGGCAAGAAAAGAAATGAGAAGATGCACATCGGGGGCGGGAGCAGCAGGCAGATGTCAGCTGGGACACCTAGTGAGTGATGAGGGTCCTTGAATCTCCCCTCGATGGAAATCTCTGGCAAGTGGGGGCTGGAGGAAGCAGGGGCTGGCTGTGAATGTGTTCCCCCACCATCCTGGAAGTGGGAGGTGGGGGTTTCTAGGACCAGGGGCTCTAGGGCCAAGTGGCTGTGCTGGGGTGACTTCCAGGCCGTAGGGGTTTTTTCCATGACGACCGGATCCAGAACCCTGTGCTTGGGTTCCACCCTCAATGGTCTTTAAGGATCTAGATACTATATGAGGCCTTTGGAGTCCCAGTTTCACTTTGCAACCAGTAGTTCCACTCAACCCGGTGGCTGTCATCCCCACCCCACCACCCCACCACCCCACTCAGTTCTGGTGATGCTGTGACCACAACAGCCCCAGCACTGTCTCCTCAACTGCTGACTCATGCATTCCCCTCACTCACTCAGGTTCCCCCACCGGAAATATCATGCTGCCTGCTCCTTACCACCCCCTCCTGGGCACAGCCTCCCCACTGGGTCCTTCAGAAGCATGGAGGAGCCTGCTCAGGCCCATCTAGAAAGAGGTAACTGGGAGGTGAGCCTAGAGGACAAAAGGGAATGCAGGTGAGAATGCCATTGGAGATAGTGAGCTGTGAATGAGGAGTATGAGAACAGGTGCGGATGCAGGTGAAAATATAAGTAAAGATACGGGTATGTTTACGGACACACATGTAGGTGGGGGGCCAGGTGAGGATGCAAGAAAATGCAGGTGGATGTAGTTGAGGATGCATGTAAGAGAGGAGGTAAAGATTTACATGAGAATGCGGGAGAAATTCAGGTGAGGATGCAGTAAGAAGCAAGTAAGCAGGTAGGTGAGAACTCAGGTGAGTGGGCGGTGAGCTGCAGGTGAGAATGGTGAGGGCATAAGTGCACAGGCGAGAATGCAAATGAGATTCTTGGGGATTTCAAGTACGGACTGAGCTGAGATGCAGGTGAGGCAGCTCGGGAACAGAGCTGTTGCTTTCCATCTCACAAAGACGTCCAGACTTTGGGAGATCACATGGAATACAACTGAAGCTTTATTGGGGGGGGGCGCCCCGGCGGGGGGCTCAGTTGGGACAGCCAAAGACGACCATCCTCTCACTGAAGCTGGTCAAGTCCCTGCACAGGTTCTTGTTCTCATCGTCTTGGCATTCGTCTGCTTCAGACCACAGCTCTACCCAGGTGTCCTTCCCGATGATGTACTTGATGCTGGGGAGGAGGGACACACGGCAGGTCAGGAGGGGCCCTGGAAGGGTGGGTGGGAAAAGCACACACATGTGCAGGCTGGGCACTCACTTGGATTTCTCTCCCCACAGGTCTGAGGAGAGGCCCCATATGAGGTAGTGTTTCCCCTCCTGCAACTTCAGGGCTGCTCTGCACTTGATGTGGCTGATGAACCTGCGCTCCTGTTCAGGCTGCACCTCATCGGTGCCTGGAGGGGAGAGAACGACCCTGAGCTGGGATGGAGGAGGCAGGAGGAGGGAGGGGAAGGCGGAAAGACAGAAGGCATACCAGGGCTGACCTGATTTGATGATCTGCTTGATGACCATTATGTACTCGTCAAAATCTTCCGATAGCTCCTTCCTGAGGAGATGGGTCTTGTACACTGCAGGGGGTAGAGGGGGGCAAAAGGAGGGACAACGAGGGGCCAGCATGGGTCATGGGAAGGCTGGACAGCAAGGCAGCCTACCTGTAAGGGCACTTGGTCACATCACTTCCCAAGTAGCCACATGGAGCCACACAGGGTCATACAACCAACATCTCACATAGTCACCCACAGCCATGTGCACAGTTACAGCCGCCCACAACTCATCCCATACACAAGGAAAGTTACTCCTGTACACTGTCACCTGCAACCACCATCTCTTACACACAGCCACATATGGTCACAGTCACTCACAACACCATCTCACACATAGTCACCTACAGTCTTGCACACAATTATAGCCACTCACAACTCATGGTATATACAGGGACAGCTACGCCTATCCACTGTCACCATCTCACACAGTCATGGCTATTTACAACCACACTCTCACAGACACACACAACCACATCTACTCACAAACACCTTTGTTCACACTCTTGCACATACCCAGCCCAGTCATAACCATGGTACCCCAGCAATCATGACCTCTAATAACACACACACCAGTAACCCACAACCATAGTCTGAAACACATGAACATGTGGCCACTCACAGCCAGTCACACACACAACCAAGACCACACCTGCCATCACATAGTCTCACCCACACAACCACAGCCATACACACCATCACTCACACACAATCACACTTGCACGTGTGTCTCCCCACCTGCTCCTCACCATAGTCCACTCCTGGCTCACAGGCCTTGTCCAGCCGGTCATCTGGGGTGACCTGGTCATCTGAGTGGTGCATGAAGCAGCTCTCTGCGGGGTGGGTGGCAGGGACATGACCTAAGCTCCACTTCTCATCCAGGGCCTGCCACCCATGGGTGTGGTCAGCCCTAGACCCATCCCTCTTGGTGTCCCCTGGGTGTGGGCTTTTGGGGCCCCTTGCAGCACCACCAAGGAAGGTAGGACTGGTGGGAGCAGGGTATCAAGTGGGCGTGGCCTGCCACTTCCTGGGTCCTGTGCACCCACCCTCAGCACAGCGGCATATTTCATTGTGGCAGAGTTTGCTCAGCATTCCATCTTCCTTCTCCGGGTGGTAGAACCGGGTACAAGACTCATCTGTGGGCAGAGGGAGTAGGAGGCATCAGAGAACTAGAGCCTCCACCCATGACCATGCCTTTGGGCTCAATTCCCAACTCCAGTCCCTCAGACCTGGGGTTGCTAGGTCCTGAACACTGGGACTCCCAGGTCCCCAATCACCAAGCCCTGGGACCCCCATCTTATAGAACCTTGGGACCCTCAGACCCCAGGCCCGAGGTTGGCTGCTCACCCAGGTTGTAATAAGAGTACACCTTGACTGCCCCCGGCTGGATGAGCCCCACATTAAAGTACTGGTGAACTTTGAAGGCTATACAGTCCTCTTGATCGTGTGAGATCTGGGAAAAGGAAGAGGTGAGTCAGTGGGGTGCCATGGGAGGGAGTCCAGCATAAGGAGAAACGGGGGACCAAGGAGGAGTGATCTGTGTGGAGAGCATGGTGGTGGGGAGGGGAGGGGAGAAGTGGCAAAGATTAATGAGCAAGTCAACAAATCTATTTTCTTTTTCTCCAAGGCTCATGGCTAGATTACACTTCTCAGCCTCCCTTTCCGTTTGGTGTGACCATGAAATTGAATTCTGGCCAACGGATTGCTATCTGTGCCCCTAAAAACATCCTATGGTTATCAATACTGCACTGCATATTTGAAAGCTGGTAATATAGTAAATCTTAAAATTCTCACCACACACACACACACACACACACACACATACACACGTTAAAACTATGAGGTGGTACATGTGCTAACTAACCTTACTGTGGTCATCATTTTCCAATATACATATATCCAATCATTGCATTGTATACCTTAAATTTACACAGTGTAATATGCCAATTATATCTCAATAAATCTGGGAAAATAAATGAGAAAGAAAAAAAAGGAAGGAAGACAGACAGATATGTATGTATATGTGATAGACATATATATTTGGAGGAAATTGCTAACATTTAATGAATCTGGGTAAAGGGTATATAGAGCTTTTTATACTTCTCTACAATTGCTCTGTAGGGTTGGGATTCCAGAAAAAATTAAAAGTACAAAAATGAAAAAAAAATGAAAAACCCATCGCAGGCACTATCTCTCCTCTTTTTTTTCTAGAATGAATGGATCAAGCAGAGGACTCTAAGACAAAGACCAACAGAGAAGGAAAAGGCCAGCCACATATGTATCAAGGTCCCAAAGGAAGCCTCACCTTGTTCAGGTAGATGATGAGCGTATTCTTGTTGGAGAAGGCCTTGTTGTCCAACTCGAACTTTGAGATGTACCTGTCAGTGCCACTGGCCAGCTGGAGAAGGGACGAGCTTGTGAAAATCCCGTCCTTCCCTCAGCCTCTGCCAGGTCCCAGGCTCCTTCCCACCAATCCTAGCCCCTGACCCCAGGATTTTCACACCTGCTTGAGGTCAGCAGGGTCTGGAGCAAAGCCAGTCATCATGGATATATCCAGGATGGACATAGTGGCATCCTGGTCTCCCAGGTACCTGGATGGGACAGGGAGAGAGGGTTAGCCCTAGGGGTCAGTGCCTGGACAAGGGGGTCTGGTCAGTGAGTGAGGCTTCTGGTTCCCACACAGCAGCATAGAGGATGTCAGATCTTAGGAAACACTCCCCAAGGGGAATAAAGGAAAGGTGTGTAATGGTTAAGGCAACTAACTGCTCAGCCTCTGAAGCCCAACTACATGGGTTCACATCCCAGCTCGATGTGACATTGGATGAGTCACTTCACCTCTTTGAGCCTCAGTTCTTCTAGAAAATGAAGACAAGAGTACAGGCAGGTCTCACTTTGCATGATTCCATTATCACGGTCTAGTTCAATAACACCAGTCCCTCAGCAACACGGTCTAATTCCAGTACCACAATATATTAGTGAGCAAACGCCTAATGGACAAATCTAGCTGCCAGCTCTTCAGTCCACCCATCACTATGTAAACAAGTGAGCATTACAATCAATGACCAATCATGTCACTTATTTCAAAGTCTGTCAGTGTTGGGTCACCGAGCACCTATCATTCAAGCCACATGTGTGGTTGTGTTACTTCCTTCTCTCTCAGTAAAAAAATAACCATGTGAGATTTTACCAAAATGGATCATTGAAAGGGAATCGCCAGGAAAGAGGAAAACACAGCACAGAAATGAGAGTGGTAACACTGGGAGTGAAATTTCAGCAGCACCTAAATGGAGCCAGAGAAGAAACATCAGATGGTATGACTATGGACCTGCTGCCCTTGGAGAGACCATCATGGGGCCAGAGGCACTTGGTGAAGGCAAGGCCATTAACATAAATGACAAAAGCGGTTGTGGCCAAAAATGATGTCCCAGAGGAGGTGACACTGGCAAAACAATTCATGGTGAAGGAACTCTTTTTTTTTAAAAATATATTTTATTGATTTTTTTACAGAGAGGAAGAGAGAGGGACAGAGAGCTAGAAACATCGATGAGAGAGAAACATCGATCAGCTGCCTCCTGCACACCCCCTACTGGGGATGTGCCCGCAACCAAGGCATATGCCCTTGGCCGGAATCGAACCTGGGACCCTTCAGTCCGAAGGCCGACGCTCTATCCACTGAGCCAAACCGGTTAGGGCGAAGGAACTCTTAAATATCTCGTGACATCGAAAGCTCAGAGTATTACCTGTGGGAAGTTGACCTAAACTTAGAATGGAACATGACACTTCACAGCATCATAGAACAGATGCTGGCTCCATATCGCAAGTGCTACAGAGAAGATAGGAGGCACTGTTCAAACCACAAGGCTTTGGATAAGTGCTTTACAAAAAATCAAAACCAACTTCAATCTCAATGTTCTGATGTGTTACTTTTTAATTGATTTCAGAGAGGAAAGGAGAGATATAGAATGATAGAAATATCAATGATGAGAGAGAATAATTGATTGGTTGCCTCCTGCACACCCCCTACTGGGGGGATTCAGCCTGCAACCTGGGCATGTGCCCTTGGTCTGAATGGAAGTTGGGACCCTTTAGTCCTTAGGCCAGTGATGGCAAACCTGTGACACGCGTGTCAGAGGTGACACACAAACTCATTTTTTGTTGTTGATTTTTCTTTGTTAAATGCCATTTAAATATATAAAATAAATATCAAACATATAAATCTTTGTTTTACTATGGTTTCAAATATCAAAAAAAAATTCTATATGTAACACAGCCCCAGAGTTAAGTTAGGGTTTTTCAAAATGCTGACACGCTGAGCTCAAAAGGTTCACCATCACTGCCTTAGGCCAAAGCTCTATCCACTGCGCCAAACTGGCTAGGGCACAATATTCTGACATTTCAAATTACAATGCACTAAAAAAATACTCGTCTTAACTATAATTTTCATTACTCTACACTTTTATAACTGGAAATATGAGAGTTTTCAATGTTGTGATAAAAATAAATAATGTAAGCCCGGTCAGTGTGGCTCAACCAGGTCACAGTTTGATTCCTGGTCAGGGCACACACCCTGGTTGAGTGCTCCATCCCTAGTAGGGGGTGTACAGGAGGCAACCAATCAATGATTCTAATTATTGATGTTCCTATCTCTCTCCCCCTCCCCCTTCCTCTCTGAAATCAATAAAAATTTTAAAAATAAAATAATGGAAAAATCCTGTAACACTTGTAATCCTCTTTGTTGATTATCAACATCACTTTTCAGTCTCAGCTTATGCGGTCACGGCTAGTCTCACATCACCATGCAATGCTGTCTAACTTCTGTACGGTGCTCAGCACAGTACTAAGCACACAACACATTCCCAGAGAGTGGTAGGTACCTCAGATATTATTTACAGGAAGTATTGCTAGAGACAGCGGGATGAGCAAGATGAACCCCAGTGACCCATCTCTTACCTGGTACAGATGTTGAGTAACATGGTTCTATTGGCGTCCTGAGGCTTCTTCACTAGAAACATAGAAGACAGAAGGATGGAGGGCTGGGTCCTGAATCAGGAGCAGGGCAGACACTAGAGTGGCAGTGGGGGAAGGGAGACAGATAGGGTCTTTATTCCTTCTACCTTGAAGGGCTGGTTGTATGTTAACCCTGAGGCTGAACTTCTTGCAAGGGGCTCCACCTTTGATCTTGGCCTGGTACATTGTCACCACCTGAAGAGATGGGAGGGGAGACTAGGTGTCAGCAAACTTGACTTGGGAAGGAGATGGTCCCTCTGGGTCAGAGGGGCTGAGAGAAGGTGGTGAGCAAAGCAGGTGTGGGCTATGGTCCTTACCGACAAGGTGCCTTGTCCTTTCCCTTTAGCTGTTAATGTGAAGTCCTCATTTTCCTTGGTCTGCAGGGAGTGGGGAGAGAAGAGAAGCTGTTGGGAACCAAGCCTTCCCCTGGCTGCAATGGTCACCTGCCCTCCCTCCTGCCTCCTGCAGACTCTGACTGGCTGGAGGATGAGAGCGAGGAGGGTTTGGCCAAGCAGCTGTACCGTTTCTGATCGCAGGAGGCTAGCGGATTCCCAGAGGATGCGGTGCGTGACCGCAGAGCTGCGGCTGGGCAGGTCAATGGACACATCCAGATTCAGATCCTCATGGTCAGGGACATCCCTCTGGTATTGGGCCAAGGCTTGGAACACCATGAAAGTGGCCTAGAACCCATGAGAGAAGAAAAGGGTGATGTGAGAGACTGAGAAAGCGTCAGAACCTGCTGGGGGATGAAAAGTTTCAGCTTAGAGCTGGGCCACTGAGACTGTAGCCTAATATGCACCAGAGGGGGTGAGAATAAGAATGGGGGGTGTTATGTACTGAGGACATGTTCTAGAACTCTCTCAGTGAGAGGGGTCAGTCTAGTGCTTGGTGACACTAAGACTGTGACCTAGATGGGACCAGAGGGCACAAGGGTAAGACTGGGGGTCATTAGAAACTGAGGACATCTCCTAGAATTCTCCAAGGGACAGAGGCTTACACCAGAGTGTGGAGACACTGAGAATGTCTAGATACATGAGAAAGTGCAGGCATAAGACTGAAGGTCTAATATGCCGAGCCCATGGACACTGGCAATAAGGTAGTGAAGACTTGGGGGTAGGGGCTGGGAGGAGGAGGGAAACAGGGGGTGGGGAGAGATATGTGTAATACTATCAACAATAAAGAATATATTAAAAATAAATAAAAATATATACAATAAAACCATGCCAACAGCAGCTACCAAAAAAAAAAAAAGAGAGAAAAAAATGACTGAAGGTCTAGGAAAACTGAGAATGTGGTCTAGACCCATCCAGAGAAGAGAGTCTAACACAGGGATTTGGAGACACTGAGAATGTATCTAGAGCCCATTTGTGAGTAAATAATAAAGTTGGAGCTTGGGGCCACTGAGCATATAGTGTAGAATCCAAAAAGTGACACTGAGCCCTGGCCAGGTGTCCTAGTTGGTTGGATCATCGTCCCATGCACCAAAAGTTTGCAGGTTACATCCCTGGTCAAGGCACATATGGGAAGCAACACATGGATGTTTCTCTCTCACATCAACGTGTGTGTGTTTTCTTCTCCGTCTCTCCCTTCCTCTCTCTCTCTCAAATCAATAAACATATACTTGGATGAGGATTTATTAAATATCTGACAATACCACTGAAGCCTGAGCTTGCTAGACTTGAGGTTGCTGAAACCATGGTCTAGAACCCAGCTGGAAGAGAGCAGACTTTGATAAGACTCTAGAAAACTGAGAACATGGTCTAGAATCCACATTAAGACAACGTAACACTGGGAGCCTCGTGGAACTGAGTGCATGGTCTAGAACCCGCCAGAGGGAGAGATGAAGTTGATGATTCCTTGAAACAAGAATTGGTCTAGAACCCACCAGTGGAACAGGATAAGATGGAAGGCCTGGTGGAACTGGAAACATAGTCTAGAACCCATCAGAGAGAGGCTCACCACTGAACCTGGGTCTTAAGAATGTGATCTGAACACCAAGAGGGAAAGGAGGCTTAAAACACAGCTTAGGCATCCAGAATTTAGACCAGAATATATAAACAGATTTGCAACAAAAACAAAACACAACAAAAACCTGATTTCTCAACTTCATTTCAATCAACTGCTTCTCTTGGTCTCAGCATCTTTTCTGGGAAACCAGGCAGGCCAGAGGAAGTAAGGATGCATTTGCCTGGGGGATGTGGGACCACTTGCCTGGGTGGAGCCATAGCCACCTCCGTAGTATCTCTGCTCGTTGAGCCAGCGCACAACAGGAGGTACAGAGTCAAAGTCTTTGAGCAGCAGCAGAGCCAACAGGGCATAGGATGTGGCCTCCACATTGTAGAGCCTTTGGCCAGGCTCCTCCCAGCGGTTCTTATCTACAAGAGAGAACACCAGCCCCCATGCTCACTGCTCTGTCCAGCCTGGAGGTAGTTCAGAGAAAGCTCAGAAGAAAGACTTGTACTAGACCACGGTGTTCAGGTGTCCTGGCCCACATTTGTGGCTTTCAGTCTGCTGGTTCCTGCCTTACTCTCTTCCCTCATCAACCTTTACTCTTCCATTTAATTTCTGAACTGCAGCCCCTCTGATCTATGGGAGCAGATTCCCTAAGTTTGCCATGTTCATTCTCACCTCTGAGCCTTTGCGTATTCTGTTCTCCCATCTTGGAGCACCTTTTCTCCACCTACCCCTGGTTAATTCTTATCCACCCCGCACAATTCGGCTTCAGTGGCACCCAAGACAGAGTGAGACCCTTCCTTCTGTCGCTTAAAGCATCCTGTGCTTCTCCTGTCCCAGCACAATGATGCTCTACAGGAATCTATTAACTCTATTTCTTTCCTCAACTGGAACGGGAGGCCATGGTGGCAGTGGCTATGCCATATTCACTGTGATGTCCCAAGTGCCTAAGAAAGTACTCATGACAGAGACAGTCACCAAGAACCATTCCCTCCGCTTCCTGGCACAGAGCTGGACTACATCTCCCAGAGGTCTTTGCAGGTAGGTATGGCCACATAACTGAGCTCTGGCTAATGCAATGTGTTGGGCAATTAACAGGGCCCCTTGCATGGCTGGTCTACTTCCCTTGCACAGTCTTCCTGACTGTTTCCCCTTCTGCTTTAATAGAAGGGATTCTGAGGACCTGAGGTGGCATAGCCATGAAAAGATAGAGCCTGGATCCCTGCATCACTGTATAGAGGAGAGCTGTGCATCAACTTGGGACAGCCATACTGTGCTGTTTCTTACACAGCAAGAAACCAACTTCCCTGTGTTAAACTACCTCAGTATACATTCAGATATGTTACAGAGGTGAGCATAAACCGGATAAGTTGTCATCACTTGAACCAGTGATTAAGTGCTCCCGATGTGCTACTTATTGTGCTAAAATTCCGATGTCATTCTCTTATCTAATCCTAATAACCCTTGAAATAATGGTAATGTTATTAATAATACTAAAGGCAATAACATCAGTGATAGATCTCTTACTATGTGCTAGACCTTCTCCTACCCTCATCACTCATTTAATCTTCGCACCAATCTTGTGATGTTGGTATCGCTTTATACACAAGGTCCATAAAGGTTAAGTGGATTGTACAAGATCACACCGTGAGAATGTGCCAGAGGGTGATTTGATTTTGAACTTGAATCTGTCTGATGTCAGAGCTCATGTCCTTGCTCCTGTGTCATAGCAAGTACTCAACAAATATTTGTTGAATCATACAATGGACCTTTTGTATCACTAACAATGAGGACTTCTTACACCCAGACCCACTCATCCCATCTCAGCTTGGAGCCATGCAGCCCAGCCTAAGATGGCCACCCTCAACCCGCAGCCATGTATCTTTCCTTACCCCGCCAGGCTGCCTCTCACCTGTGGCTGCATTCAGAAATGTGTTGAGGAGAGGGCCCTCCAGCTTGCCCAACTGGGCCAGGGCATAGCCAGCAATGGCCACAGCATATGGTCTCTTCAAGTTCATGTAGTGTGCTTGAAGGAAGTGTCCGGCCTTATTGATGCTGCCCCCAAGGCTCTATGAGAAAAAGATTGGGTATTCTGGTCAGGTGGGCACTGCTGCCCCAGAGAGCTGACAAGGATCACATAATCACCACTTCCTGGGAATAAGGTTTCTAGCCTCGGTACATATTTGTCTTGGATGTGTCTATTTTTAAGGGTTCCCCAGACAGTTTAGCCACTGTGCACTGCTCTGTTACTGAGTATCTATCATGTTCCTGGTGCAGTCTGTATACTAGTGGTGTGCTAGTAAATACTTAATAACCAGTTGTCTAGTGAGTGCAGGAGTTGGGGGTTAGGAGAGCTGGTTTATTGATTGCCAATGACTGTGGTGTAAATACTTCCACCATGGCCAATTTCAAGCTACAGTGTGACATACCTTAACATAGAATGGGAAAGAGATGCCCCAAATAGGGTTAGCACAACACTGGGTCCACCCATTATCTAATCATCATCATTATTGTAGCTAACACTTAGTATGTGCTAGTCACATATCCACTCATTTAATCTCAAAATCATATGAGGTAGGTTTTATGTTCATCACCATCCCTACTGCACAGAGGAGAATACTGAGTCCCATGAGATGAGGTGCAGAAACAGATATGCTTTGTAGTGTTTGCTGATTTTTATAGTGTAAATACAATCATGGCTGATTTCAACCTACCAGCATGGAGTCACTGACTGTAGAATTCAGAAGAGATTATTTAGTTTGTCCATCGTATATGTACAACAGACATAAATAATCTCAAGATCATGGATAATGATAAAAGGTAGTGAAATAATTAAGAAGTGATGAGTTTTGAGGGTTTACTACCTTTGTTGTTGTTTTCTTGTTTTTTCTTAATTGATTTTTTTTTTGGGGGGGGGTGAGAGAAAGAGGGATTAGTTTGTTGTTCCACCTATCTATACATTTATTGGTTGTTTCCCGGTATGTGCCCCAACTGGAGATAGAACTGCACCTTGGCATGAGGAGATGATGCTCCAACCAACTGAGCTACCTGGCCAAGGCTACTACCTTTTATTTAATGTGTAGTGCTTAGTCTAATTTATTTAAGTGTAAGTTTATATACTTTAATATTTAATAGTGATTGCATTCAACAATCAACTTGCAATATTCCTGGAATACTAACCATTGGTTTTATGAAGGTAATTCCATCAAGCTCTTTATTTGAACCCCAGCAGTCTAGTTCCACAGCCTATGCCATACTCTGTTATAAGGGTGCTGTGTTGTAGTACAAAATGTCACTATGTTGTAGTAGAAATTAATTCTTTTGCCTGCCCTCTGTCTCTCCTATATCCACCCTTGACTTTTGTAGGACCTTCTCCTTTCTGTCATTTACATGGCCAAAGTGGAACAGTCATATTTGCCCAGGAAGACCTACTTCCTGGTCTCAGCTCATTGATCCAGAAGTGATCACCTGACCCAGGCTGAGCCAATCAGAATCCCTTTCTAAGAATCTGGAAGATCTAGCCTTGGGCTAGGAATTTCCCCCAGGAAGGCAATTCTGTTTTGCCAGGTGGGCTGGGTGGCAGGAAAGCTGAATTATTGGGCAAAAAGGGCATGAAGGACACAGGAAAGAGGAACAAAGCATCCTGGTCGAGTCCCTAAGATTCCTTTCACTTGATAAATTCTTAGATTCTTAAAATAATTCCTCCATCTACAGGATAGGGCAAAAGTATGTTTATAGTTGTTTGTACATAAAATAATACAATAATTAATAAATAATAAGACAACAATAAACTCTGTGTTACCCATACTCAACTGTAAACCTATTTTGCCCCACACTGTGTTTTTGCATAATGTAGCTCATATGTGTGTTACATCTAGAACAACATAGAGAATCCTAGAAAATACAAAAATTATTATACTTATTTTACATTTATTACAGATGTACACACTGAGGTCCAGGAAGGGCAAGTGCCTGAGGATTATGATCTAAATTTAGGTCTGTCTGACCCCACTGCACTAGAGCCATCTCTTTTGTACCATAATTTCTTTCAAATCTGCAAATTTGAACCAGAAAGACCTGGGTTCCCCTTGGCCTTAAAAATAACACTTCCTCTCCTCCTTCTCTTTTCTGGGGTCCTGAGGAGGAGAAGCAGCTGGTGAAGTTGGGATCCTGGAGTTCCCCACTTGGAAAGCTAAAGATCAAACAACCCACTCTCAAAACCCCAGGACAAAGCAGATGTCGCAATTACAGAACCTCCACGATGGCTGTGCCTGGGTGTCTGTGAGGGGGAGGGGGTGCGGAAGAGAGCAGGGCAGGGCACACTTACGTTGACCTGTCCCTCGCAAATATCTTTAGCCTCCTGCAGCGCGATGAGAACGAAGGCTGTGAGGGACACATCTTTCTCCTCAGCATGCCTGTAGCCACCCTAGGGTGTGGAGGAAGAAATAAGGATGGGTCACCCATGTGCCCCTCATGCCAACCACCCCCCTGTAGGATCAGTGGGGCAGGGGTGGGTCTGTCCCCAGTGTCTCACAGGAGGGCCATACTCTAGTATCCATTCATTCACTCACTCATTCTGTAAATGTTGCTGGTGTTGTGGGTAAGATGGTTCCAGCCCTCATGGAGCTCCCCATCTCATAGGGGGGACAGGCATGAACCAACCAGCTCGTCAACAGATGTATCATTACAAACTGACAAGTGCTACACAGTAAGAATGAATAGAGAGGGTGTGTCTTGGTCAGGGCATTTGGAAAGGTGTCCCCAAGGAATGACAGGTGGAGCCACAATCTGAGGAGTGAGTAGGACTCAACTGTCAAAAAGGGCAGTCGTAACATGCCAGGCTTTGGAAACAGCATGTACAAAGGCTCTGTGCCTGGGAGCAAGGCTCCAGGCAGTTCAGATGGAATATGGAGAGGGAAGGCCTGGAGGCTGGAAGCCCGAAGGTCAGGCTGATGCGGTGGTGCACTCACTTGAGCACATGTCAGCATTACCTGAAGTCAGGGGTTTATTAAAACCCCAATTCCTGGGCCCCATCCCTAAAGTTTCTGATTAGGGCATGTGGGATCCAGCTCAGGAATGTCCATTTCTAACAAACTTGCAGCTGATGCTGGTGCTTTTGGCTTGTAGACTAGAGTTTGAGAACACCAATTCTAAGGAGTTCTAAGGTGTTTGTTTTTTTTTTCAAAGCAATGAAGGGCTAGGGAACTTTCATTTTGCACTGGACCCTGAGGTCTCTGGTTTTTGCAAAGGAGAGTGACATTTGTTGCTCCTTTATTTCTCTGTCCATCCCACGCTGGGAATTAGGCAAATGGCAGACGGAGCCTGTCTCCTGTCCATGCGGGGGCACTCAGGCACTCCTCTCCCCCAGGCTGCCCTGAATCCTGCCTCTTACAATCATTTCTTGGTGTATCACAGGCCCATCCTCCTGGAAGACTCCATCAGGCCTCTGCTTCTCCAGGATCAGCCACTTGACAGCCCCACAGATGACTTCGGAGTCGATGGCGATGAGGTTGGCGGCCAGAGAGAAGACCTTGACCACGTAGGCTGTCAGCCTGGGGGTGGGCACAGAGCATGAGCCAATTGGCTCTGGGATCCAGAGACTGCCATCCCAGCCAAGCAAGGAGCAGAGAGGGGCAGGGCCTGCTCAGGTGAGCCCAGTTTTCCAGGCCAGGTCTCAGGACCCAATGTTGCTTGTAGGCAGTGCTTAGTGACGGTAGGTCACTCGACTAGTGGGCACCTTGACTCTGAAGGTGGAGGGGTCCAGAGGCACAGGGCTGTGTGGGGGAGGCCAGCCTAGAGTACCCAAGGCCAGGGCCCAGGTCCTGCTCACGGGGTGCAGGGCCAAGGATGGGCAGGCTCACCAGGTGCTGGACTTCATATTCAGGAAGGCCGCAAAGGCCTTGTTGGGTTGCCTGAAGGCCAGTTGCTGCGTGTACCCTGCAAGGAAGAGAGACGTGTCACTGGGGGAGCGAGGGCTGAGTGGAGGCAGTGGCTGGTGTGGGTATGCCAGGAAGGAGAGAGACTTAGAGAGAAACAAAGATTCTGTGAAGTGGGGGAAGGAGAGGTTCAGAGAGGATAGAGGGTGCTCAGGACCAGGAGGAATGTCTAGAGGGGAGGGGAGCTTATAGGTTGGAGGGACTCTGAAAAGGTGCAGGAAAGAGTGAGGAGGGGTAAGGGCTTCTCAGAGGAGAGGGGTTCAGAGAGAGAAGGGCTCTCAGGGGGGGTTCATTGGGAGACGGAACTCAGAGGGACTAGGGTCTCAAAGAGGGAAGAGCAGGAGGTTTCAGAGAAGGGGCAGGGCCTCAAGAGGGAGTGGGGTCTCAGAGGAGGAATGAGCTCAGAGAGGGGCCTCAGAAGGGGCGCCTCCAAGAGGGGAAGGGGACATACCCTTCTTGATGAGTTCCAGGGCCTCCTGTCGCTTGTCAATGCCAAACTTGTCCCACTGCTCAGTGTGGTCCAGGTAGTGCACCGCAATGACCGTGGGCGTCACACCAATCATGTTCTGCTCTCCACAGCCCGAAGGGGTCACAATGAGGTGCTTTAGCCGCTCCCCATCAATGGCCTCCTCTGCCATCTGGGCCACTGGGGTCCCTGCAGCCAGGAGGAAGGATGATGTTCAAGCAACAAGACCCTCTGTGGGGTGATGAGGGTGGGGGCTGCCCCCAGCCTTCCCAGGCTCCAACCAGACAGGGCCAAAGAGTTAGGGACAGATGTAGGCATGTGGCTGAAGGGGGCCAGGAGGGTTGTCCCTGGGTCCTCATGTGCCACCAGTGGTAAATAATTCCAGGAACAATGGTCATGAATACGTCTATCATGCTTAATGCCGTTTGCCAAGCTTCCTTCTAAGAGAACACTATATAACATCTCAATTTATTTTCCCAACAGCCCTTCAAGACTGGTACCGCTATTTGCCTTCATCAGAGATCAGGAAACCAAGAGTCTATCTCAAACCTAAGAGCTCAGAGGTTGCAAGGGGCTTTGCTATCTCCTTCCTGTGCCTTCTCCCCCCAGTCCTCCATTCTGGGCAATTCGTTCCAGAATTTCTGTTCTTGAACTCTATCACTTCTCATTGAAGCATCGTTAGCAGCAGAAGCTAAGTACTGCCTGGAGCCTTCTGTGAACACACCAAGCAGAGGCTGTTCTAGCACATGAGAAGGAGGGAGACATCATGGTTCAATATTCCCGGAAGTGATGGAACTGGGTGCCCTCTTCAGGGGTCATGGCTCCCACACCTTCCTGGGCCCCATGGGGTTGGACCAAGGCCATCTCACCCTGCAGGAGGATCCTGGTTTCCGACTCTGTGTCAGGGACTTGGTCACTGAGGTCTGCAGCCTCGACCTCCACTCGCTGCACACCATCTGTTGGTGGAATGGGAGACACCCGTGGCACCAGCCTCCTTTCACCAGGCCCTGCACACCACCCAGGCCTCACCCCCACTCCTGCCCTGACTCACTCTGGCCCAGGTGTTGTGGATCCAGTGTCTTAACGGCCACAGTCTTGTTCATTCTGATTCCTTCAGGCTGGACAGTGTTGAGGGAAGGGGGAGTTGGGTGAATAAAAGGACAGACAGAGCCGCAGCTGGTCAGCAGGGCACTGTTCTGGGGATTACCATAGCCTAGATGGCATCTGCCAGTCTTAGCTGTGTGACTGGGAGCCAGTTACTTAACCTCTCTGTGTCTCAGCTTCCTTCCTTATAGGGAGAAGGCAATACAAACATCTACCTCATACTGTGGTATGATTTAATAACAACATCAACTAATATAATAATACAAAAAAGCCTTTAGAAATCTTCCTATGTGCCTAGAAGTTTTCTTTTTTTAAATATATTTTATTGACTTTTTACAGAGAGGAAGGGAGAGGGATAGAGATTTAGAAACATCGATGAGAGAGAAACATCGATGAGAGAGAAACATCGATGAGAGAGAAACATCGACCAGCTGCCTCCTGCACACCTCCCACTGGGGATGTGCCCACAACCAAGGCACATGCCCTAAACCGGAATCGAACCTGGGACCCTTCAGTCTGCAGGTCGACGCTCTATCTACTGAGCCAAACCGGATTTGGCCTAGAAGCTTTCTTTATTCAGGTCAACTCATTTAGGGTACCGCTATTATCATTCCCATTTTAAAGATGGGGAAATGGGTCTGGCCAGTGTGGCTCAGTTGGTTGGGCTTGTCCCGTACACAGAAAGGTTTCCGGTTTGATTCCAGGTCAGGGCACATACCCAGGTTCCAGGCTTGATCTCTGGTAGAGGGCATATAGGAAGCAGCCGATGTATATATCACTCTCACATTGATGTTTCTCTCTCTTTCCCTCTCCTTTGCTCTCTCTCTCAAAATCAAAAAATAAAAAATCTTAAAACAAAACACAAACTTATAAAGATGGAGAAATTGGAGAATAGAGAGATGAAGTAACTTGCCCAGAGTCACACAGCTTGTAGGACAGAACTGGAGTATGAGCCTCATAAATGCTATCAGTGTATTTTATTTTAAAATTAGATAAATAAATAAATAAAATACTAGTGATCTTGCTTATGAACTTGTTTTGCTTTAAAATATTAAAAAAATGACAACAGGAGATTCCTCAAAAAATTAAAAATGGAACTCCCATTCGACCCAGTAATCCCACTTCTGCAAATATATTCCAAGAGAAACACCAATCAGAAAGGACATATGCACCTCTATATTCATAGCAGCATAATTTACCATAGCTAAGATTTGGAAACAGCCTAAGTGCCCATCAGCAGATGAGTGGATTAGAAAACGGTGGTACATCTACACAATGGAATAGTAAGCTGCTATAAAAAAGCAGGAACTTTTACTATTTGCAATAGCATGGATAGTTCTGGAGAGCATTAAGCTAAGTGAAATAAGCCAGTTGGAGAAAGATAAATGTCACAAGATCTCACTCATATGTGGGATATAATGAACAACATAAACTGATGAACAAAAATAGATCCAGAGACTAAGTAACACTGAACAGACAGTCCAACCTCAGAGAGAAGGCAGGGGAGGGAGTGGGTAAGAGATCAACCAAAGGACTTGTATGCATGCATATTAGCATAACCAATGGACACGGACACTGGGACGGTGGGGGCTTGTCCTGGGGGGCCGGTGTGATGGGGGCGGTCAATCGGGAAAAAGGAGACATATGTATACTTATAAACAATAAAAACATAGTGATAAAAATATTCACAATAGAAAAAAATGACAAAAGCCTTTTACTGATGATTCTATCTCTCATTATATTTGAGAGTGTTCCAAACTGTGGGAAACAGTAGTAATAAAACTGTTAATGTATATTTTAAGGCTAAAAATCACAGATAATGGAACATTTGAGATCTTGTTCCCCAACACATGTTAGTCAGTTTGGCTCAATAAACTCATAGAATTTTTAAAAATTTGAAATCACTGGAAAAACAGAACTTTGCTGCCTGGTCTGTGTGACTTAGTGTTTGAGTGCTGACACATGAAGCAGGAGGTCAGCGTTCTATTCCAGGTTAGGATGCATGGCTGTGTTGCAGGCTGGATCCCCAGTAGGGGGCATGCAGGAGGCAGCCAATCAATGATTCTCATCATTGATGTTTCTCTCTTTCTTCCTCTCCCTTCCTCTCTCTGAAATCAATAAAAAAAACCATACATTTTAAAAGTAGAACTTTCTTATATTCTATATTATTCTAAAGTAGAACTTTCCTATATCCCATATCATATATTATTGCTTTATAAAATTTGGTTTGTGAAACATGTTTCCCCCAAAATTTTAAAGTCAAAACAAAACTCTTATACTGAAATGTGTTACAAAATATCATACTTGATGTTAAACTATATTTCAAGGAAAAAATTTTTTTATCTTTAATGCTGAGGTCTGGGCACCCCCTTAGAATTTTATGCGCAGAAGAATGTCTCCCCTGCCTCACATGGCCCTGCTTTCACACTGCTGGGACTCCTGACTTTCCTAAGCTGAACACGGACAGCATTAGTGTCTCAGAGCCTGGAGCTCCAAACTGAGTTGACAGCACAAGGAGAGCAAGAGTCCCTCCTGAAGGACAAGAGGCAGCAGGTGCCCCAAGGACTCACCACGACCTTCAGGGTCTTCCTTACACCGTCAGTGATGAAGTGTCCATTGACACTGGCCTTGACCTCTACCTCCTGCAGGCCAGTCTTCAGGGGCACAATGACATAAGGCACGGCCACGGAGGACTTGGGAGGAATGTATACAGTCTGCAGGTGACGCTTCTTGGCAGTGGCCAAGCTGCAGAAGGCTGGATTGTAGAGCATTTCTACTCTCACCTGCCAGGGAGAGAGTATCAGGTCAGGGGCATGCGCCATGGGCCCCTCTCCAGGTCTCCCCTCGTGCCTCTCCTGCTCCAAGGACCCACCGCGAGCATATCTTCTTCCCAGTAGTTGTAGAGGACAGCTCGTATCTCCACCTGTTCGTTACGAACCACAGAGTAGGGCAGCCGCAGGTCGATGAAGAAATCTTGCACCACCGTCACCTCATAGGGGTCAGCCACACAGATCCCTGCTCAGGGGGAACAGACCATGATTGTCAGGGGTAGGGGATGGGCAAGGTGGATAGGGTCCAAGTTCAGGTCCAAGTTCCTTCCTGTCAAGGCTTACCCCTGACACGGGAGCTGTCCTGAGCTCAGCTGGTTTTAGTAGAAGCCCATAGACTAGAGAATGTTGATGGTGATGAATTACAAATGATAGTGGTAGCTGGGAGTTGCCAGGATTTCGTGATTTCTTTTGAATTTTACTCAGAGATAGAGGTGGAGGAGGAAGGCGAGTCAGATTCACTGAAGGGTCCATCTGTGCTTCCCAAAATGCTAGCCCCCAGCCCCGTGTGGTCACTGGGGACTGGAAAGGTGGCTAGCTTGAAAGGGAACTGTATTTCTACTTTTATTTCATTTTAGCTAACTCAGATTTCAACTTCCAAACTAGTGCTTGTGAATATACTGAAATCATATACTGACCAAGGGTGACTTTTATGGTATGTAAATTATATCCCAATTTTAAAAATGCCATGGGGGCAGGCTGGGAGAGAACAACGGGGGAAAGGGGACAAATGTCATACTTTCAAAAATAAAGAATTTTTTAAGATGCCCATGGACACAGACAATAGAGTGGTAAAGGCCTGGAAGGGGCGGGTACAGGGTGGAGGGGGTCAATGGGGCAAAGACAAACAAACAAAGGGGACATCTGTAAGACTTTCAACAATGAAGATACATTTTTGAAAAAATGGTGGGTGGCCCCGGCCAGTGTGGCTCAGTTGGTTGGGCATCGTCCTGTGCACCAAAAGGTTGCCGGTTCAATTCTGGTCAGCACACAAGCCCATTTGAAGGCTTCCATGCCCGTGGGGGATTGCGGGAGGCTGTTAATCGATGTTTCACTCTCACATCCAGATCGCTCTCTCTTTCTCCCTTTTCTTTCCTCTCTCTCTAAAAATTGATTTAAAAATCTTAAAAACATAACAATAAAAAATGATGCTTGATTTAGTGATTGGAAGACTTTTAAAAGTATGTTTGGTACAACTTGAATATGTCAATCTGCTTTTTCAACTGTAAATTTTATGAATCCTAAAATAGAGATCAAAATGTTTCCCATGAGCCCTAGTCGATTTGGTTCAGTGGATAGAGCGTTGGCCCATGGACTGCAAAGTCCCAGGTTCAATTCCGTTGAAGGGCACATGCCCAGGTTGGAGCCCAATCCCCAGTGGGGGGCATGCAGGAGGCAGCTGATCAATGATTCTCTGTCATCATTGATGTTTCTATCTCATTCTCCCTTCCTCTCTGAAATCAATAAAAGTATATTTTAAAAATGTTTCCAATGAAAAGCTCACATCATAATTGTGATGCACTCTAAGTATAAAAGGCATACCAGAGTCAAAGGCTTACTAATAGAAGTAAAATAAGTCATTAAAAATTTTGGTATCTTGCCCGGCCAATTTTGCTCAGTGGTTGAGTGTCAACCCATGAACCAGGAGATCATGGTTTCATTCCTGGTCAGGGCACATGCCCAGGTTGTGGGCTCAATCTCCAGTAGGGGGCTTGCAGGAGGCAGCCAATTGATGATTCTCTCTCATAGATATTTCTAACTCTTTCTTCCTCCCCCTTCCTCTCTCTGAAATCAATAAAGACATATATATTTTTTAAATCAGCTTTACTTAAATAGTAATGAATTTATTGTTTTAACATTATTATTAGTATGATAGTGGTTTTGCAAACTTTCATAAAATGTGGGAATGATAATATTTTGGATATATTTGGGTGAGATAAAATGTATTCCTGAAAACGGTTTCATCATACTCCTTTTTCATGGGGCTACCAGAAATATAAAATAACACACCAGCCCACATTACATCTTTTCCTTCCTTCCTTCCTTCCTTCCTTCCTTCCTTCCTTCCTTCCTTCCTTCCTTCCTTCCTTCCTTCCTTCCTTCCTTCTATTAAAGGCACTGTTATAAGGGCTTTACATGTATTAACTCATAACAATCCTCCCAACAATGCTTAGAGTACGTGCTATTTCTATCCTGTCCATTTTATGGAGGAGCACAGAGAGGTTGAGTAGCTTGATTAAGGCCACACAGTGGCTCCAGCTGAGTCATACTGGAGTCCCAGGCACAAGGAAACTATGTGCCCCTGTGTAAATGCCCAGGTTTTGAGCTCCATCCCCAGTAGGGGGCGTACAGGAGCTGGCCCATCCATGTTTTTCTCTCAGGGATGTCTCTCTCTCTCTCTCTCTCTCTCTCTCTCTCTCTCTCTCTCTCTGAAAATCAATAAAAAAAACATATTTTTCTTAAATAAGAGAAATTGGCAGAAAATTTCAATTCCTTCAATTAAAAACGAGATAAGCAAAGAAGCAAAATGTTTAAATCTTGAAGTCAGAAAATTAAAATGATAATGAAGTTTAATTTATTATATATTACTAGGGGGCCCAGTGCACAAAAATTTGTGCACTGGGGGGGGGGGGGTCCCTCAGCCCAGCTTGCCCTCTATCACATACTGGAAGCCCTAGGGGATGTCCTACTACCTGCTCCCTGCTCCCCTTGGGGAGAGGGCCTAAGCGACAGTCTGGCCTCCCTTCGTGGGAGTCGACTGGGCTGATCAGGGGAAGGCACCAGCCCCATCACCGCACTGCTGCAGCCACTGCCAGTCACCGCAGCCACCAAGGTGTTTTCATCAACACGGACTCCAGTCCCTTTACCATGAAAAAATGACAACTCTCTTTAGGCATTTTCAAGAAGTGTCTTTCATAGGATATGACATTTCTCTCTTTCTTTATCCTCACCTGTGGATATGTTTCCTTGATTTTTAGAGAATGTGGAAGAGAAAGGGAAAGACAGAGAGATACATCAAAGTGAGAGGAACACTTTGATTGATTGCCTCCTGCATGAGCCCTGACTTGGGCCGGAGCCAGGGAGGAACCTGCAACCTAGGTACATGCCCTTGGTCAGAATTGAACCCAGAATCTGCCTTGGGCAGAACGAGGCATTATCCACTGATCCAAACCGGCTAGGACAGGATATGACATTTCTTAACCCTCCAGCAGCAAACCTTCCTTTTTTTCTCCAGGAGTGTGGTAAAAAAAAACCCTAGATCACTTTTTGGACTCTTATTACCCAAGTTACTAAGAATATTACCAGTGGCACATACAGGAAGCTTAGCCAATCAGCAGTCAGAAAAGGTGTTTCCTCTGTAGTTCACACCAATTGCTGGTTTGGCCCCTGCCCAGGCCTAACGCCTCTGGCGAGTCATTAGCCCTGGGCCAGGGCACCCCCAGCTCCCAGCAGCCGTGGCCATCAAGGATCGCTGGCTGGCTGCGCCCCGGTTCCGGTCACCACCACCATCAAGGATCACTGACTGGCTGGCTCCTCCCTGGCCCAAGCCTAAAGCCTCTGGCCAAGGTGTTAGGCCTGGGCCGGGGCACCCCCAGCTCCCCGCCACAGCAGCCATCAACGATCGCTGGCTGGCTCCTCCCCGGCCCAAGCCTAAAGCCTCTGGCCGAGGCTTTAGGCCTGGACGGGGGACCCCCAGCTCCCACTGCAGCTGATCGTTGGCTGGCTCTGCCCTGGTTCCCCGCCTCCACCGCCATCAACAATCGCTGGCTGGCTCCTTCCCGGCCCAGGCCTAAAGCCTCAGGCAGAGGTTTTAGGCCTGGACGGGGCACCCCCAGTTCCCTGCCACCTCCGATCACTGGCTGGCTCCTCCCTGACCCAGGCATAAAGCCTTAGGCTGAGGCTTTAGGCCTGGACAGGGGACCCCCAGCTCCCACCACAGCTGATCGCTGGCTGGCTCCCCCTGGTTCCCCACCTCCGCCGCCATCAACAATCGCTGGCTGGCTCCTTCCCGGCCCAAGCCTAAAGGCTCTGGCCAAGGCTTTAGGCCTGGGCCGGGGCACCCCCAGTTCCCTGCCACCGGCGATCGCTGGCTGGCTCCACCCCGGTTCCCACGCCATCGCCACCATCAACCATGCTGGCTCAACGATCGTTGGCTGGCTCTTCCCTTACCCAGGCCTAAAGCCTCAGTCCGTGGCTTGGAGCCGACATATGCAAATTAGCCGCCATCTTGGCTGGTGGTTAATTGGCATATATCGCTGATTAGCCAATCGGAAGGGTAGCGGAGGTATGGCTAATTACCATGTTTCTCTATTATTAGATAGGTTAACTGAACAAAATGAGAACACAATATAATAAATTCTGGCTGTGGTATAAATAAAATATTTACACTTAATTTTATGAGTTTTAATACACCTGCCTTTTAATGTTTTAATATTTTTTGACAAATTTAACCTTTAAATTATACATAGAACCTGCCCTGGCTCTGGTCTTTTTAAAATTGGGATATTTTGTTCACCATAGATTATTTTGTACTCACTTTTACTTTAAAAACGGCTGCAGTGGGATATTACTTTTTGGCACCCACTTATATTTTGCACTAGAAGTGGGGCCTTCCTTCCCTCACCCCTCCCGGCCCTGCTGTAAACCATCCCCGGCTCCTCGGGTCTCACTCCAGCTGTGGGTGACCGGGGACAGATAACCTTTTTCTCACGCTTCACAATCTGACCACCGATGTTTCAATCCCCATTTCATTCTGCTTCCTCCTCTTTCTTAATCAATTTACCCACTATCATGCCGACAGCACCTCCTTAAAAGTTTTTGTGGTTGCAAATTATACTGTACGATACTGCAATGGTGGACTCGTGTCATGAAACACTAGACCAAATCCATACAATGTACAACACCAAGAGTGAATTCCTACTGTCAGCTATGAACTGGGGTCTTCACAATTGATTATAACAAATGCACCCATCTGGTGGGGGATGTTGACAGTGGGGGCAGCTATGCGTGGGGTGAGGAGTAGGAGAGGGCATATAGGAAATCTCTGTATTTTTTGCTCAAATTTTTAAAATATATATATTTTTATTGATTTCAGAGAGGAAGGGTGAGGGACAGAGAGCTAGAAGCATCAATGATGAGAGATCATCATTGATCGGCTACCTCCTGTACGCCCCCTACTGGGAATCAAGCCTGAAACCTGGGCATGTGTTCTTCACTGGAATCCAATTGCCAAAAACCTGGGCTTGTGCCCTGGCCAGGAGTTGACCCGCCACCTTTTGGTGTACAGGACGACGCTTCAAAAACAAGCAAAACTCTGCAGGGCCTTTCTGCTCAATTTTGCTGTGAAATTAAAACTGCTCTAAAAATAAAATCAATTTAAAAAATAAAAAGCACTGGCACCCACGATCTGGACTCTGATGCACCCTGCCCACCCAGTAACCAGGGGGCAGAGTGTCAGCCACCAAGAAGCAGAGGAGCTTTGGGATGGATGAGAAGCAGAAAATGCCCGGGGCCCTGGGGCCTGCGAAGCTACCACCTCACCTTTCCTGTCGGACAAGCTCACAGCCATGATCTCCCAGGTGGTGATGGAGTCTCTCAAAATCACCTTTATGGTCTTGGAGGAGACTCTAGGAGGAGAAATGGGGGCCTTAGGAGAAGATGTGGTGGAGGGGAGAGCAGGTAATGAGGGGCCCCAAGGGCAGGTTGGAGGTGTGGGTGTGGGTTTGGGCACGTGGAGGTTTTTCTAGGTTGGGTTGTGGAGTTCCACTAGATTCCAGAAAACAGAGGAGGTAGGTGTGCATGCAAATTAAATGTTCAGGTCCTGAGTGTTGGTAGGAAGTGCCTGGTGGTGGGTTGGAATGAGGGGTGCCCCAGCCTTACCCATTTTTCTCTGGGTCCTTTAACTCCTCGATGGTCCACAGCCAGCTCTCAGGGAACTGGCTTCTGGAAACGATGTCTTCTTCCGCCATGATGTCGTCATCCAGGTTACCTGGGCAGGTGGGTGGGCAATCTGGGTTTAGAGCAGACCCACTTCCCCTGCTGGCCCCGTAGATACTCATCTCTACAGCCCTGGAGGGGTTCCTGGCAGCCAAACACACCCACGGACAAATGATGAATTGTCTGTAAGTTAAAGGCCCCCTTTGAGGGCTCCTGCCTCCATAAAATGTTAAAAATCATATTTTATACAAGGGCGTTGGTATAAAGGCAAGGATAATCCAGGCTAGGTTATATTCATTTCCCCTGATTTCCAAAGAATCAAAAGCATTGTCATAAGCTTCTAAAGGTATCCTGACCCCTGGCACGATGCCTGCTGCGTCAGAAGTGACCTTGGTCATGAGAGTAACCAGGTGAGCAGAGAGTCTGGACTGATGGAGACCCTGGAGGCCTCTATAGCCAGCTGGGCACCATCAGCAAGTGAACACAGCTGGGCTGGGCTAGGGCTCGCCCCTGGCTGGGCTCTCCTCAAAAAATGGTGGACAGGCTTTAAGTTGGCTCTGGGTGTGTCTAACAACAAAGTAGGTGGAATTGCACAGATGCCTAAATCCATTCATGCACTGGGATAATCCACCAAAGTGCCTTTGGCGGTACTAACGTTTAAGCCATCCTCTGTCTCACCCCCACTTCACTAAAAAATACACAACACTGAGAAATAAATCTCCCTGTGGTGTAAACTACAGCCCGGCAGATCAAAGTTTGGTCTAACTTCCTCTTTGCAGAGGAAAGTCACTTTCACGAGTAAAAAGCGGCCTGCCTAGTTGTCATCATTTGCAACGAGATTGAAGATAGTCTTTGCTGACATGTGTTGGGAATCTTTGTGTCTTTTGTGGGTGGAGGGGTGAAGGGGATGCGAGGTTTCCAGCTAAAAAAAATTAGAAATATTTCTCCACTTGGCAACAGCTGCCTAAGCCCCACCCCCTCAAAGTACACAGGCTCACAAAAATCACATGTTACCACTGGGGGTTGGACAGATGGGAGGAGGCTAAAGGGACACAACCAGACACACCAATGCAATGTGTGATTCTGAACTGGGTCCTTTTCCTAAAAAGTGGCAAAGTTTGAGTGGAGTCTGTGAATTACATGGTGGAAAGGAATCCACGTTAATGCCCTGATGCTGAGCATTGTGCAGGGGTGTTTAGGAGAATATCTTTCCTGCCAAAAAAATCCTCACTAAACTATTCAGAACTCTGGGGGCATCAAACAGCTCAAGCGGGGAAAGGTGTCAAACCCCACAAGTTTGTAAGTTAAAGGCTGTTTAAAGAAAAAAAGATCATTATTTTTGCATTTGTCGGCAAGCCACTGGACAAGTTTCCCAATCTTCTTTAGGTTTTAAGCAAAGGTATTCTTTTTTGTTGCTTTTCATCCTGTAATTGATAACGTAATTTCCCTCAATTTCACAAGCCGCTCACACTTGCCTTTGCTCTTGGAAGCAAATTTGATCCACACAATTTCCAGTCCCCAGTGATGGGCGCCTCCCCCTCCCACCACCACCAGCCCTCAGGCAGGCCCCCCAGGCCACAGGACTCACTCCTGGCCAGGACCATGGCGCTGTTCCGGCTGTGCTCCAGCCGCTGCTGGGTGATGTAGTTGCAGCAGTCCAGGAAGGCGTCCCTGCAGGCCTTGTCCTGGAGGATGAACTGCGCCCTGCGCTGGCACGGGTACTTCATGGGGTTCTCCCGCATACCGTCCTCACAGCACTTGCGCAGCTCCTTGCTGGGGTACTTACCCGCTGTGGGAACACCCCCCGCTCCCAGTCAAGTCCCCACAGGGCCTCGCAGGGAGGACCTGCCCAGGTCCAGGCCATCCCCTCCTCCCACTTTGCTGGGATCTCAGTGGACAGGGTGCAAGGGTGGGGGAGGCAGATGAGGGCTCCCACCTTTGCCCTTCCTCTTCTCCATGAGCTGCACTGAGCGGCGGCGCCGGGTGGCTGGTTTCGGGCATGCCAAATCTGAGGAGCAGGCGGACGGAACAAGATGGATTAAGCACTGACTGGCTGTCCATGGTTTACTCCTCACAGTAGCTGCGAGGTGGGAGTGTTATTGCTCCCATTTAACAGATGTAGACACTGAGGCTGAGAGAGGAGAACGATTTGCTAGTGGGTAGTAGAGGCAGGACTGACACCAGGGTCCCGGATCCTATCTTGGAGGTCGACGTGCTGCCCCTCCCTGGGTGTCCAATGGCCGACTCCTCACCTGACCGCTGCTCGGTCTGCAGGGTTTTGCTGGTCTGGAAGGCCAGCCCGGCATCCGTAAAGACACCTGCATAGTTCTTTCCACTGCCCGGTGTGCAGCCAATGTCTGCCTTCTCAACAGTGTCCCAGATCTGCAGGGTAGGGAGGGGGTCGAGGGCAGGCTGAGGCCAGGCCACCACCAACACATCAACCCAACCTTACTTCCATCTTCATCCTGAGCCCCAGACACTCCACAGTGGATGATCAGAATGTGCTGCTATGGGACTCAGAGTTGTTCCCATTACCATGACCATCCACAACATCGACCCTGTCCATCCACATTCCCATCTGGAAATTGAACTGCAACCCATCCCCATGTCTGTGTCCATTTTGACCTCTGCACTTGACCCACACTCAACCTCACATCACTGGTTGTCCCCAGCGCCATTCCCACCTCAACCCAACGCCATCTCTTTGCCTCTGCCATGTTTTACCCAAACCCAGTGACATGGGGACATACCTTCCTCTGAGTCAACCTGTTCTTATTCAGCACAAACACGCCCTTGTCCACGGCCACAAGCCCCACTCGAGCCCCTTGGTTACCCTCAATCTTGAGCAATATCTGCTGTCCAGGTCGATGCTGATGCTTTTCCTCCTTCATGGCACTTTTCACCACCAGCTGTGAGGAGGTGGGAGGGGCAGGAGGGAGAAGTCAGCTCAGCAGGACCCCAGCCTTCGTCCTTAGAGGACAGAAGGGGATCTGGCCTGGTCTGGAAGGAGAGAAAGGTGGAGACAGAGAGAAGAAGGGAGACACACAAAACCAGTATCGGGTAGAAAGTCAAGGAAAGAGAAATTGAAGGCAAGAGAAATACTGAGACTAATACAGGGAAGAAAACAAGATGGAAAAGGAGACGAGAGAGGCAGGAACTCAACAAGCAGAGGAGAGAAATGGGTTCAGAAGGACAGACAGAGGCACAGACAGAGAAGCTATTGCCAGGCTGAGAGTCACAAGATGGGCACAGAGACTCAGCAATGCTTACCGTGCCCACACACGAATCCTTGACATCCAGCCACACAGAATCAGCCACCACCTCCCTCTGGCTTCCTTTCTCCAGTGTATAATAGGCCACCAGGCGGAAGGAAGGAATAAACTCTGCCGTGATGGTCAGAGGCAGCACCACCAGGAACTGGCCGGGCTCTCGCACCTGGCGTCCCACCTTCAACAGCTTCCCCTTGTTCATGACCTTGGGAGACAGGTTGGCTGAAGGATCAGGAAAGCAAGAGCGAGGATAGGGGGATCTGGAATGGGGTAGGGCTCCAGGGGCGGGAGAAATGAAGAGGGGGAGAGCTGGAGGTTGTAGGAAGCCACGCACCAGGTAGGTGAAATATCGGACATTGGCATCCTGGCCGGGGTCCAATTGCAGGACAAAGTTGACCTTGAGCGTGTCCCCTGGCTTGAGCTCTGTGGCGGGCACTGACAGGTGCAGGTAGTTGTTGGAGTTGCCCATTGTACTGTAGGGTAGGGCCTGCATTTGATTGGTAGCCTGTCGCCCCTCCGGAAGGCCCTCCTTCATTGTGCGTACCTGAGCAGGGAGACAGGGATGCATGATGCCAACTTGAGATGTCCATGTCCTAACCCCTGGCAACAGGCAATATGGCACCTTGTGTGACAAGAGGGACTTTGCAGATGGGATGGAGTTAAGGATCTGGACATGGGCAGACTATTTTAGGTTACCCAGGCCCGCTAATGTCATCACAGGGGTCCTTATAAGACATCTATGCAGATGACAGGAGGCCCTGTGTAAATGGCAGGAGGACCCTCTATCCAGATGGCAGGACTCCCATGTGCAGACAAGACTCCTCTATGCAAATGAAACACCTCTATGTGAATGGCAAGACCCATTTATGCAAATGAAAGGACCCCCGCTATGCACATGGTAAGAGCCCTTTGTACAATCATTAGAAGCTGCTGTACAAATAAAGTCCTCTGTTTCCCTGGGGTGGGGTCCTGCTGGTGCAGACTCACAGTGATCAACAGGGGCTTCAGGCTCTTGTGTGTGTTGATGGTGAGCTTAGCCAGGCCATCATCGCGGGTCACAGAATGCACTTGATTGGAGCCCTGAGTGGCCACGGGGATGCGGCCGGCCGGGGAGCCATCGGGGTTCGTCACGTACACCTGTGGGTGCAGGGAAAGGTGGAGGGGTTTCAGCAGACACAGAGACATGGCCAGTGCTCAGGAGTGGGGTGCAACCATGCTCTGGGTCTCACCATGAGGTCAAAGGGCATGGCGGGTTTGAAGAACCTGGGCGTCTTGGTGAAGTGGATCTGGTAGGGGGAGGTCACGATGGGGATCCCGCTGCGCTCTGCCTCCACCATGTCGCTGCCTGAGGAGGCCAGCTGTGAGGGTGGGCTCCTGGGCCACCCTTCAGGCCAGGCTTCCCCCTGCATTGGTCCCTGATGCCTTCATATCGGACCTCCCTCTCAGACGGGGCCTCTATCGTAAGACTGACCCCATCTTCATTCTGGGCCTCCTCCCTCAGTTGGGCCTCCCCTCTCAGACTGGACTGCATGGAGGAACTGAGCCTCCACCTTCTGCCCAGGCCTCACCTGAGTGTAGGATGACGGTGACAGACACATACAGTGACTTTCCCACTAGGGCAGCTTCTCGAGGGGCCTGCGGAGCCGCACTCAGCAGGACCTCTCGGCTCAGCACAGCCTCTCCAGTGCCATCCTCCATCTGGGATAGGAAATGAGGGCTCAGAGTAGGTGGGACTCAGGAGGGAGGGATTCAGAGAGTGAGAGGGAAGGGTTCCGAGTGGAGGAAGCTCTGGGGGCCCCTGGTAGGTACCACAACATAGGTGAGTGACTGGGACAGTGAAATCCTCTGGTCACCATCCTGGACCCCAAAGATAACAAAGGCTGTTCCATCCACATTCTTCCCATACAAGAACCTGTGTAGACAGGAGAGTCTCAGATTCTCCTTCCTGAAAAGCTGAGCCTCCCCCCAAACTTCCACTGGCCACGGAGAGGACCCAGAATCCCCAGCCCCTCACCTGACCCTCACCAGGCCCTCACCCAGCCCCTCATCTGGACCCACCTGATTCCTAACGTGGTCCCTCACCTGGTCCTCACCTGACCCCTTTCCTGGCCCCTCACCTGGCTGTGATGGTGACCTCCAGGCCCTTAGGGTCATCGATGTAGTAGAATTTCTCTGCAGGCTCCACTTGGACCTCAAAACTAGGCAGCACTGGGGGCAGGGGTTCCTCAAAACTAGGCAGCACTGGGGGCAGGGGTTCAGGGGAGAGAGACAGCACTGTGAGGGGCCAGCACTGAGCCCAGCATTATGGGGCCCACACCCTGGCTCCCTCCTTCTCTTACCATATTCCTTCACCTCAAACTCAGCCGAGAAGACCTGCTGTGGTGAATCTTCATAGTGGGCTTTTATCTTCCACTGCCCCATGCTGTGGGGAAGGCAGGTGAGTGATCTGGTCAGACCTGGCAGCCCCCAACTCCTTCTCCTGGGATTGGGGAGTCCCAAACCCACTCCTGGAGAGCCTGACATACTCGACCAACTTCGGGATATTCCAAGAAAAGCGCAAGATGCCAAAGTGGTTTTGAGAAGAGATGAAGTTCCTCTTGATGGGAATGCCTTCGGGCATCTGTAGATAGACAGGGAAGGGTGTGGTTCTTCAGAGCAGGCTTAGCCCCTTGGCCCTCCTCTCCCACTCTGTGTCTGGACACTCTCTGTCATGTCTACAGCAGCAGCAGCTAAGAACGTCGACCTGAGTTGGACAGCCTGGGTTCAAATCCCACTGTGCTACCTACAAGCTGTGTGACTTGGCCAAGTTTCTTAACTTCTCTGTGCTCAATGTGCACATCTAAAAACAGGAGATAAATACAGCCCCTCTGGCTTGGGACATTGTTCATGTGAGCAGGAGCTCATTATTATGAGTGTTCCCCTAATATTAAGAATCACTAGAATGTATTGCCTACTTTTGGGCTGAGCATTTGATTTGTGCTAAGCCACACGTAATTGCTCTGTTCAACCTTTTATCCTACAAGAATAGCAATCTGGTGTACACATATATTATTTCATTTATTATTTCATTTCTTGTCAACAATTAAACATCGGGAGACAACACATAGAAATCTGGTTCTCTGGCTTCTCTTGGAAACCAGGCCGCTGTTGGCCCAGGTGACATTTCGCTTCTTCCTTTCTCCCTCCCTGACTCCTTTCTCCCATCACTTTGTATTAAGCCCCCCTATATGTGAAGTACTTTTTGAATTCAGGAATAAGGCCCTGAACAAACAGATAAAAACTCTTTCCTATAGCCCTGGCCAGTTTGGCTCAGTGGATATAGCGTCGGTCTGCAGTCTGAAGAGTCTTGGGTTTGATTCTGGTCAAGGGCACATGCCCGGGTTGCGGGCTCAATCCCCAGTAGGGGGCGTGCAGTAGGCAGCTGATCAATGATTCTCTCTCATCATTGATGTTTCTATCTCTCTCCTTCTCCCTTCCTCTCTGAAATCAATAAAAAAATAAAAATTTAAAAAACCCTCTTTCCTGTAGGGAATTGAGATTCCACAGTGTTTGGTGGAGGGGGCAAGTAATAAATGAGTAAATCCAGTTTACAGGATGCCAAAAGGATGACACAGAGAGAGAGTGGAGTGCATGTGTGGATGGGAGGGGGTTGAAAATTTACAGGAGCTCAGAAAGGCCTCACTGTGAAATTGGGGCATTGGTGACATCTGAGCAAAGTCTTGAAGGAGTTAAAGGGCAAGTAGTATCCGTATTTGGAGGAAGATCATTTTCTGGGCCGAAAAAACAACCAGTGCAAAGGTCCTGGGGCAGGAGAGTCTGCCTCGTGTGTCAGAGGAAAAGGGAAGAGCCTGTATGGCTGGAATAGAGTGAGTGAGAGGGAGAGTGGGAGGAGCTAACGGCAGGAAAGGGACAAGGGAGGTCATTCAGGGCCTTGTAGGTCACGGGGAGGACTTGAGTTTGTTTTTTTTGTTTTGGTGTTTGTTTTTTTTAAATATGGAACACTTCATGAATTTCCGTGTCATCCTTGCCCAGGGGCCATGCTAATCTTCTCTGTATCGTTCCAATTTTAGTACATGTGCTGCTGAAAGGAGCACAGGGCTTGAGTTTTGTTTTGTTTTTAATATATATATATTATTGATATCAGAGAAGAATGGAGAGTGAGAGAGAGAGAGAAACATCAATGATGAGAGAGAATCACTGATTGGTTGCCTTCTGCATACCCCACAAAAGAAATCTAGCCTGCAACCTGACCGTGTGCCCTGACTGGAATGGAACCTTGACCTCTTGGTTCATAGGTAGACACTCAACCACTGAGCCAGGCCTTGAGCTTTTATCTGGAGGGAGGGAGGAGTCCTGGAGGCCTGGGAGCAGAGGAGGGCCTGGACCTGACTCAGGGGCTCACAGGCGCCTCCTGGCTCAGTAGGCGGAACAGACTCCTACCCAGAATTATGTAACTACTCCAATCTTCAGATGAGAAAACTTAGGCTCAGGAAGGTGAGTGACCTGGCCAGAGTCACTGGGACCAGGGGTTTATCTGGAGGTGGAATTGACAGGTGCACGCATTGCCCCATGCTGGCTCCCTGCGTCCCCGCCCATCTCTAGGCCTCTGTGTTTGTGCCTCTATCTATTTTTTGCTTTAGGGCAAGCAAGCATGTCAAACTCGGGGCCTGCAGGCTACATGCAGCCCACTAAGAATATTTTTGTGGCCCAGCCAATATAACGGTATATAAGAAACGTTTTAATAAAAATTTTTAACTTAATTTTTACAATATCCTGTTATACATAATTATTAATAACGAACTACAACATTCGCTAATGACTAATTACTATAATTGTGTTGCATTCATTTCCCTTACACGCCTTATGCGCAGGTGTACTATTTCTCTCCACTAATACTAGCAGCAAATATTTTAGCAGCCGACTTGTTTGGTGTGTGCAACAGGAAATATTTTGCTTTCGGAGAACAAGAAAAATAGGTTTGTTTGCATTACGCTTATTAATTTGTGCAGTTATTCGGCGTCTGGTAAGTTAATGTTCAAAAAATATTAATTTTTATTAAAATGTTCCCTTATTTTATGTTAATGATTACTCATTTATTTCAGCCCTTTGTATTCAGCATGTCTCTATCGAAATAAACCTATGTTTCTATGAAAATTGAAGCTTTTGTTTTTTTGCGACCCACATACACTTACACCTTGTTTATTTGGGCCATGTTAGCCTTTTGAGTTTGACATGCTTGCCTTATATGTGTTTTCCGATGGTCTTAGGCGACCCCTGTGAAAGGGTCATTTGACCCCCAAAGGGGTCGCGACCCACAGGTTGAGAACCGCTGCCTTAGAGTCTTTCCTAGTGCCTCTTTCTCTGTCTCAGACTCTCTCTTAGTCTCTCCTTGAGTCTCTACCCCAAGGGTGTCTGGGGGCCCGGCTGCCTGGTACCTCAATGCTGACGATAACCGTTCGGCCCACAGGAAGCAGCTCATTGTCCACAGTGAAGATCCGATAGAGGACTGGGAGGTGGCGGGAGAGAAAGGGACAACTCAGTGAGGCCCTGGCCCTCCCAGTGACCCAGCCCCAGCCCTCTGAGCCACCCAGCAGCCCCTTACCTGTGGAGCCTGGGGTGTAGATGGTCTTGTCCGTCTGGATGAAGAGATACCCGCTCTGAAAGCTGACTAGCACCACCTTCTCCACTGGCGGGGCATTCCCAAAGGCCGCCTGGACACTCACAAACTTGTTCTTCTGTGATTTTAACTCCTTTCTGGCCGGGATCTAGGCATGGATGGGGGAGGGTGTGAGGAGGGGTCTGCTCCAGGGCCCCTTGCCCACCGTCCAACCTCTGGGCTTCTGGCTGGGTCCACATCTGCCCCTCCTCACAACAGAGCCTGAGCCTCACTCCTGCCTGGTCTCTCTGGTTTGCCCGGATTTGGGGGGAAGAGGGTACTCAGAGAGGGGCAAGGGCAAGAGACAGGCTAGGAGTGAGAGAGAGGAATGGAAAGGGGATCAGAGAGGGGGCTCAGAGGATGGAGGGCTCAGTAGTGGAAGGGTACCCAGAAAGGGGAGGAGACTCAGAGAGGGGAGGGGCTTGATGGAAGAGAGGGCTTGGAGGGGAAAGGGTTCCGAAAAGAGGGGTACAGAGATTGTTGGCTTGGAAGGGAAGGGGCTCAGGGTGAAGGAGGGGCTTAGAAGGGGGCAGGGCCAGTAGAAGGAGGGGCCCTAATGCAGAGGAGAATTAAAGAGAGGAAGGGCTGCCCTGGCTGGTGTTGCTCAGTTGGTTGGAGCTTGGACCTGTGCACCAAAAGGTCACCAGGTTTAGCTCCTGATCAGGGCACATACCCGGGTTTCAGGTTTGATTCCCCAGCCAGGATGTGTACTGGAGGCAACTGATCATGTTTCTATCCACATCGATGTTTCTCTTTCTCTCTCTCTCTCTCTCTCTCTCTCTCTCTCTCTCTCTCTCTTTCTTCTTTCCTCTCAGAAAGGGCTGAGGAAGGGGCAGGGCTCATAGGTGAGGCTCTGGAATGGGGAGAAGACCCATAGGGGGCGGGGCACCCACGGGGCGACTCCAGTGTGCACCCACCTTGATGGTGACGGTGCTCAGGTAGCCATTGGCGCTGTTCAGAATGGTGTCCTCACTGGACAGCACCTGCTTCTTGGCTGGGAAGTCGTGTACTGTAACCTTGACAGGAATGTTACCTGCCCCACCGTGGGCCTCCAGCACCACCGTCTCCTCATTCTCCAGCCGCAGGATGTTGGGGGTGATTATAGAGTACCTGCAGGAGGAGTCCGAAGGGTCATCCCAGGGACCCGACATTCCAGCCCGCATGGGGGTCTCCCCAGTCCCTGGTACTGCAGATCCCATCGACCCCTGAACCTCAAAACCAGAACCAGCAAGTCCCCCAATTATTTAGACTTCCAAACCCACAGTTGGGGAACCCACTTACATACTCCTGAAACCCTGATCCCTAAATCTTTAAACACCCTAAGTCTCTAAACACCCAGACCCTCAGGCACCCCAACTATACATACCCAAACTCACATATACCAAATCTTTGAAATCCAAATCCTTGAATTCCCCAAGCCTCTACCTAAACCTTTATCACCCAGGCCTATAAACAAAACTAAATCCACCCCCAGCCAACATAATCCTATGCCACAGCTCTACACACATTGAACCCATAAATCCGGAAACTGCAAACTCCCAAATCATGTAAAGTCAAACCACCACATCCACAGAATCCCCAAACACCACCTGCACTCTGAACCTACAGACCCCCAGCTTCATAAACATCCACACACCCCTCTACAAAATGCCTGAATTTCACAAACATCCAACCCATAGACTCTCAAAGTCACAGGCAGCCCCATCTAGTAGCATTCAACCCCACTAACTCCTCCTCCACAGGCATAATGCACCCTGAATTCTACAAGAACCTGAACCCACAAATGACCACTCCACCTCAGAAGTTGCCTTGCTTGGGGCAGGGTCATGACTACTCACATGGGGTCCCCCAGGGCCAGGGGCAGACTGCTCAGCAGCAGCAGCAGCAGGAGGCTGGGACCTGAGGCAGGTCCCATGGTACAGGGACAGTGGAGGGACAGAGGGACAGAGGGACTGAGGGTCAGAGGGAGAGGACAGGGGGGACTGACCAGAGGCTGCTGGAGGCCTCCATTTATCTGGCTCCGGCCTTTCCCCCACTCAGCCCAGCCCTCTACTCCCCATGGCCTCTCCCCTCCCCGGGGCTGCCCCAGATTTCTCAATAACGTTTCCTAATTCCCTGGGCCAGCAAGTCCTTGGGTAAATAACCTGAGGACATGTCCTCCTACAACAGGAGTACAAGTGCCGCCTTCCTCAGGGGCAAGGCCAGGGAGTGAACAGGGACCTTTCCCTGTTACGTCCACATTGTAGTGGAGGAACTCTGAGGGCAAGGGACCCCCCCACCTCAGAAATCTGGGCCTGGCCCAGTCCAGTTTCGTCCATGCACTTATTAACCAAACCTTTCCTCGGAGTCTACTTTCAGAGTCTTCCATGCTGAGGTAGAGTGGGGAACAGACTCCAGCACAGACACTCCTAGCCATCTGTAGTGTGATCTCAAGTGGAAAAGAAGAACTCTGCTTCTTGGAGGTCACAGAAAGTTTCTCTGGGGAGTGGACATTTTACCTAGGCTTTGAAGTATGCATAGGAGTTCACTGCCCAGGTGAGCATGTTTTATAGGGCAATAGGAGCATGGAGAGCCCTTCACCTACACTTCTTAGGATGCCTGAATAGCTATAATGATTTAAAAAGTAATTTTTGTGGACCATTGCTAGCTTTTGCATTTGTATTATATCAGCATCCTCTTAGGATATTATTATTTAAAATTATATTTAATTTTTTGTGTAAATAAGTAATATAGTCATAGGATTTAATATCTAAAAGGTGTAAGTATAGCCTGACTGGTGTTGCTCAGTGGTTGAGCATCGATCTATAAACTGGGAGGTCATTATTCAATTCCCGGTCAGAGCACATGCCCAGGTTGTGTCCTTGATCCCCAATGTGGGGCATGCAGAAGGCAGGTGATCAATGATTCTCTCTCATCATTGATGTTTCTATCTCTCTCTTCCTCTCCCTTTCTCTCTGAAATCAATAAAAATATATTTTAAAAAATTAAAAATACACTTTTTTTTAAAAAAAAAGGTGCAAGTATATATAGGGAAAAGATCATTTTCCTCCTGGGCCTGTTACGAGCCATCCAGGTCCCAGACATGACCATGTAATGAAGGATCATGATTTTTCCCCCAAAGATATCGTTTGCAGTCCCCAATGTTCACACACTTGTGGGAACAAATATTGGCATGCTCTACATACAATTCTTCCTGGTCTCCCTGAGTCACACCTTGCTTCTTTATAAGCAGCGAGAGACTGTTGATTACCAGTGCACGGAGAGCTTCCTTGTTCTTAAAAAGACTGCGTCATATTACATTGTGTGAAAGTTACGGTCCTCCAACTGATGGACAGACTTTCATGGATTATAAACCATACTCTTGCCAGGAGTTATGAGCCTGCGTCACTTCCCAGTTGTGTCACTTATTGGTGGTCTCAAGCCCCTGAGAACCACCCTGCGTCTCAGCTTCTCCATGTAAAATGGGGTTATCACATTGCCCCACTTTACAGGCTTGTTTTGTTAGGAAAGGAGATAACACAGATCAAAGTCTACAGGCATTGGTAATCTTACTAGATAGCGCTGAATTCCCCTCTGTAATTGTATTGATTTACATACTTGCTGGCCCTGCAGAAAACTGTCAGTGTCCCCACTGCGCCCCCCAACCCCCAATGAGATCATGGTGGCAAAGCTTTGAATGTTTGCTCAGTGCCATTTTAACATGCATTTCTCTGATTGCCAGCCAGGTTGGGCATCTGGGGTGGGGGCTGTATGTGAAGTCTGGGCACAGTGGGGTGGGCATCCTGATTCCTGAAGGGCTGGTTTCCAAAGACCCACTGAAGGGGAACTGGTTCTGAGTTCCTGTAAACCATGCTCTTGATCTTTCCCCGGCTGTGCCAGAGTAGGGGAGGCACAGAGAAACAGAACAAACCTGGACTCTGTCTGCTGCGATTGCGACACCCCTTCTTTAGAAGAGGAGGGAGTACAAACAAACCTGCTTATTTTCCAGAATTGCGATTAAACTTCTGAAACTGGGGTGGGGTGCCTGCTAGGGTTCCCCAGCCCCCAATGCTGCCCTTATTCCCTCCCCTGGTGCCCCCAAACTCCCACCCCACTTCCCGATTTTATTAGAGCCTTGAGCTTTCAGGCTTTGTGGTTGGACAGCTTTGAGGAGTTCCTGGCCTGGCCTCTGTCTCCCTGCAAGGCCTGGTTCCTCCTTTCTCAGCACCTCAGCGAATCTGTCTGAAGGATGAGAGGAGACTGATGACAGTCCCTGCTATTGAGACAATTAGAGGAACTGAGAGGCCCCTGAACCAGAGGGGCAGGGAAGGGGAGTGTGCAGCAAGGCACCCATTGGGAGGACTTCTTGATTTTTGGGTGACCTTTGGGAGGCAGATGAAGGGCAAGATAAGCCAGAAGGGAGGGAGGAGAAGGTGGCTTGTGAGGGGACTTCCACCCGGCCCAGCATTTGGGCACCAAGGGTGGTGTAGCCCAGCTGCCTGGACAACCTAAGTGGCCATCTGGGGATGAACTTTTCTAACAAAGTTCCTGTTATTTACCTGAAACGTAAATTTAGGTGGGTGCCCTATATTTTGCCTGACAACACTAGCTGGGATGCAAGGAGAGAAGAGGAAGAAAGAGGGGAGGCCCTAGGAACCCCATCCACCCCACCTGAGTGCAGTGATCTTGCTGCAGCCCACCCTTTCCCCACAGGCACTACCAGGCCTGGAAATAGCAAGAAGCCCCCCTCACTCCTGGCCCCCTATTTCCAAGAAGGGTCCTTGCTACGCTGGTTTCTGAGAGTTCCCCTCCTCAATCCACACCCAGGCCTCCCCCTGCCCAACCTGCAGCCTGGTCTAACCACACACACCACATTCATTACTCATTAACTCATAGGTAACCTTGACCTGATTGAATTAACCCGTCTGCCCTATGGCTCCTTCCCCCCATGCTTTCATGCACATTCAGCAGAGGACTGGGAACCAGGGACCGGCATCCAGGGAGGACATGGTGGGCAGATTTTGATTCTAGCTTTAACTACTCCGAGCCTGTTCCTGATCTGTACCCTGGACATTCACAATCATGTACCTCCCTCCAGGTCAACAGGCAGGCAGAATGCTCAGTGGCACCCTGCACGTACCGACCGCTGGATTTTCTTGAAACACAATTTTAATTTTGATAATACTTTCTTCTCCTCCCTCTTGCCTGATGTCTTTGACAGCCCAACAGGCCTCCCAGCCAGAGTCCTCCCTTCTTCCTTCTCCCTCGCCCTCTGTCCAACCCTCACGGACCCCTCGGATGTCTCTCTGAGCCCATCCCTTCTTTTCACTCCGTGCTCCCTGGCTTCCCTGCTGTAGACTCACCTCTTGCAGTTCATCTACATCACATTCACTGGCACTTTCCCCCTAGAACACACCCTTGTATTCCCTCTGCAAAGTTATGATGTATAATGCATGAAGACGTGCAGCCAACAGCAAAGTCTCCATGAGGTTCAGCTGGCAGCATCTTGCCTATTTCATGCATCTGGTTTATTTCACATGCCATAGGTGCTATTTCTAGCCCCACCTTATGATCGAAGAAACTGAGGGCTTTGGCACTTGCCCGAGATCCGCTAGCTCAGTGGTTCTCAACCTTCTGGCCCTTTAAATACAGTTCCTCATGTTGTGACCCAACCATAAAATTATTTTCGTTGCTACTTCATAACTGTAATGTTGCTACTGTTTTGAATCGTTATGTAAATATCTGATATGCAGGATGGTCTTAGGGGACTCCTGTGAAAGGGTCGTTCGACCGCCAAAGGGGTCGCGACCCACAGGTTGAGAACCGCTGTCTTAAAGGGCTAGCTGGTAAGAGCTGGGATTTGAACCCAGGCAGCTGGACTCCAGAGCTTGTGCCCCGAAACTCTGTGAATTTCTGACTGCTGCTGTAACAAGTAATATCTATTTATTATCTCATAGTTCTGGAGGCAGAAGTCTGAAATCGAGAGGTTGGCAGACTGTAGGGGAGAATCCGTTCCCTGCTCTTTCCGAGTTCTGGAAGCTGCCTGCGTTCCTTGGCTCATGGCTCCTTCTTCCATCTACAAAGCACATATTCCAGGTTGTTTCCATCATCACATCTCATTCTCTGACCCTCATCCTGCTGCCTCCTTATCAAGACCCTTGTGATGACATTGGGCCCACCTGAAGCATCCAGAATAGGCCCCCAATCTAAGACCCTTAACTTCATCATCTCTGCAAAGTGTCTTCTGTCATGAAATGTAACATATTCACAGGTTCTGGGATTAGGATGTGGACATCTTTGGGGATCCATGACTCTGCCTACCCCAGAGTGCATGTGGATAAACATCAACCCTTTATGGCATGTCCCTCCCTGCTTGAAACTCTTCCCTGATGCCTATGGGTCCCAGCACAAAGTCCCAGTGTGTCTGCCTGTCTTTAGGTTTCTGCCAGCTGCTCTTGCCCCCCCACCCCTGCCACACACACACACACACACACACACACACACACATACACACACTGGCTCCTGCCAACCTTGCAGCAGGACTTGCAGGCTATTCTGGGCTTGTCCATCTTGCTCACCCAACTTCCTCACTCTGCAATGCCTTCCCACTTCCTTCTTTGTCTGCCTGGGCTATTTACTCAGCTGGGCCCCAGTTAAACTTGATTCCGCCTGCAGGAAGCTTGGACCCCAGCAGGTTCCTACCCCTGTCCCATGCCTGTGGCCCACTGAGGAATGTTTCTCAAAACTTCAAAAGGGGTCCTGGGTGCTCTAGTTAAAGGGTGAGGTCTGAGGGTGAGAAGGACATAATGCATTTCTGGAGTCTGTCCACAGGTGTGTGCACAGGTGCGTCTCTAACCTGAGGTCACTCCCTAGTTTCAGACAGTCCAGGAAAGATCAGGCTGTGTTGCTGGGCACTGCACTGAGCCAGACACTCATAGGTGATACTCAATGACCCCCATCTTACATGTGAGAG